AAAAAAAAAAAAAGAAAAAAAAAGAAAGAAAGAAAGAAAGAAAGAAAGAAAGAAAGAAAGATACATGTATCTCTTGGAAGTCGGCCCCTGCCTTGGCGCTTCTCGTTGTTGAGGGATCTGCTGCCCTTCGAAGCTGTGAAAACAGTGAGTCAAAATGGTGCGCAATGCGCATCAGTGTGTTGAACGATGCCCTCAAGAATAAGTTCAACGCGGAGAAGCGCGGCAGCCGCCAGGTCTTGCTCAAGCCTTCGTCGAAAGTGATTATCAAGATGATAAAGTTCCTGACGGTCATGCAGAAGCACGGTTATATTGGAGGATTGGAAGCTGGTTGATGACCACCGCACCGTGCGGGGAAGATCGTAGTGGAGCTCAACGGAAGGCTGAACAAGTGAGGCGTCATTAGTCCCAGGTTCAACATTTCCGTGAAGGAGATTGAAGACTGGACTGCCAGGCTTCTTCCATCTCGTCAGTTGGGTTGGGTTACATCGTGCTAACGACCTCGAGCGGAATCATGGACCATGACGAGGCCAGGCGGAAGAACATCGGAGGCAAAGTTCTTGGCTTTGTTTACTGAAAACGTTTATTAAGTACTTTGACACAGTTTTGCCTCTATGCCAGCAGTTGATGGCGCGGCGGCCGATTGCTCGGTGCCTGCATGGGTCAGAGAGGTGAAAATGGACGAGGAGTACAAGCAGAGGAAGAAATCATGAGAAGGTTCCTCTCGGATCGACGGCCGATGGAGAGGCAAGCTGATCCAGAGGACTTCTTTCATGTTCGCACCCATCCAGTGTTGTTTGTTCTTTACTATTGTTGAAGAGGCTATAATTGGCTCAAAAGAGGGCGTTTTCTTAGAAAAAAAAAAACAAAAAAAAAACATGTACGTTTGTCAGGAATCGTCAGCCGACCGGTAGTACGAAATAAATACTTCTCAAAACTGGCGTACATGCAACTTTCTGTGGAACACAAGTAGTCAGCCTACCATACCCACGGCAACTCCCCTTGACAGCTGCGATAGTCTTTGCAAGACGACATTCATCGAGGGCCGTTGATTAGGGTCGTCTTGGACACACATCATCGCCACCTCGAACATGCTGTACACCGCCCCCCAATCTACAACACCCAGTGTCTCCAACCTCCTGTCGGCTATCTGCTGGACATGCTCTGTCCTCACAAGCGCGAGATTTACAGAGACATCATCAGATTGCTGGCCACGTTCCCCACCTTCCTCTTCCCGCGAAAGTTGGACCAATTTTCTCCTTACCCACTCAGCAAGAGCCTTGCTGCCCTCCCGCTCTTCCTTCTCCTTCCGCTCCTCCTCCCCCAGGTGGCAGGAACGTTCCCCGAACGGCTTTCGCCCTGAGACTAGCTCCAGCAGCAGCACCCCGAAGGCGTACACGTCATTCTTTACTGTCAGTCGGACATCGCGGAAGTACTCGGGGGCCATGTAGCCCATAGTCCCGGCCACGTGGTACGTCTCCACCGTCTCTCCCGCCGTTTCCTCCCCAAAAACACTCTGTCCAAGTTTTGCTAATCCGAAGTCGGACAGGTACGCCCTGACTGCTCGACCATTCCCACTACTCCCCAGAAGAACGTTCTTGCTCTTGACGTCCCGATGGACTATTGGCGGATCCACCAACTCATGAAGGTAGTGCAGGAGCACTAGCGATATGGCAGGCGACGACCACCCGGTCCGTCCACTCTAGAGGCGCCCTTCCCGACAAGCTACCGGTAGTATTACTATTTCCCTCCTCCTCCGCAGCATTACTACTGCGCTCCTCTTCGTCTACACTTTTGGACTTGGTAGGTTTGCCAATCCACTGAGTCTCTCCGTCCGCAGCTGGGACGGCAGGATGATGACGCGATGATGGCGAGTGCAGACGATCGTATAACGTCCCTCCTCCTAGGAATGGATAGACGATCAACGACCTGTCTTTCTCTGTGCAGTAGCCGACAATGCTGCAGAGGTGGCGGTGCCGAAGCGAACCCAGCACCGCCAGCTCTGCCTGGAACTGCCGAAACCTGCCTGCAGAGAACTCCTCCCCCTTCATCAGCTTGACGGCCACCACTTCCCCGCCGCTGAGCACTCCCTTATACACCTCCGCGGCTCCTCCTTGTCCTAGCAGCCGCCTCTGGCTGAACCCATCGCAGGCAGTCCTAAGCTCAGCAAGGCAGTAGCGTCTGGGACCGGCCGGCTGAAGCTCGCGACTACCGGCCTCAGCAGAACCCCCAGAAGGAGGGTTCTCACGATCCACCGATGGCTGGCTAAGACTCCAGTCCGCTAGACTGGTAACGGGCGTCGTATCGGCGGGAGAAGGGCTGATTCCTCCTACGAGCAGCTCCGCTCCCTTAACCCCAGACAGGAAGCGCTTTGACACCTTCCCCAGCTGCATTCCCCCACGACGCCGTCTGACGATGACGATGCAAGAGGCAGCGATGGCGGCGGCTCCGACGAGCAACCCCAGGCCGACGGCGACACCGATGATGGTGACGGAATTGCTGGTGGTAGAGCGAGGGGAAAGAGCGGCGCCCGTGTTAGAGTCAGGGGAAGGGGAAGGAGTGGCGCCCGTGTTAGAGCCAGGGGAAGAAGCGGCACCGGTGTCAGAGCCAGGGGAAGGAGCGGCACCGGTGTCAGAGCTAGGGGAAGGAGCGGCTGTAACGGAAGACGAACAAGGAGGCAGGGCCGCCTTATTAACAGTTAGCTGAAAAAGTTTCTGATTCGATCCGGCCACATAAAGAGTCCCGGCATTAGGAGTCATCGAAAGTGACGACAAGTCCCAGCCTTGCGACGAGTCCCTACCTGATCCCCGTGCTGATATACTGGCGATCGTCGTAACTTCGCCGCTGGAACTGCCTTTGCCAACGCTGTCGAAGTGAATCAACTTGATTCTGCCTCCGGCGAACTCAGAGATAAACATGTTGCACCCATCAGGCATCAGTGCCAATCCCTGCGGTTGCTTCAAGATCGCGCTCAACAAGGCGCCATCTTTTGCACCCGCCTTTCCCGCTTGTCCAGCGATGGTCTCCACACTGCCGTTCACGGTCCAGATTCGCCGAATGATGTCGTTGCCTCGATCARCAACGTACAGTATCTCTCCGTCCGTGGATATGGCGGACGAGCTCACGAAAGGCTCGTTGAATCGGACGGTGCGAGAATCATCGCCGCCGTCATTGTMACCGACACTGAGGCTAGATCCAATCCAGGATTGGAACGTGGCCCTCTCAGAAACGAGTCTCACGCTGGTGGCCTCCCCTCCTGCTACCCCACCCCCCACGAACTCTACCGTTCCTTCGAGTGTCATCTTCAGAACCTGACTCTCTGAAGTAGCGTACAAAACATGGCGCATGGAATCGCATGCGAGGCTATAGATCGGTTTCCCGTCGGTGAAGTTAAAGTATGACAGCTCGTAAGATTTCGTTGGTGCGCTGGCACTCTCTGGTGAGGCCATGGCGGCGGCGGCATTTTCTGGTGACGGCACCAAGAAAACCCGAAGCATGAGGTTGGCGGCATCCGACACGAAGAGGACTCGCCTACCTACTGTCTTCCCTGCGGCGGTGGTATTGGAACCATCKGTACTCAGGTCCGGATCATACACAGCAAKCGCCACCACAGCCAGAYCGCCGTTGTTGGGAGGCGGCCAAGGCCCAGCAAACAGAGTGCCATTCGCAGAGGGCAGCAGGATGCCTTCTCCGTTCGTTCTCCGCAACCAGACGCGATCGGCGACGAGGACGAACATCCACGTGTCCTTTGGTGACAACGCCGCGCTCCAGGTGAGCCACTCATCAGGCGGCGGAAAGGCGAAGTCGTTGCTGACAAGGTCATCGCTGCCAAATTCCGCAGCGCAACTCAGCAGATCAGAGTTCCCGATTTGGAAACTGGCACCACAGGGATTGGATAGAAGGACACGCGTTGGCTCTGGAGGCTTTGCCCTCTCCCCCATCTCCGTCGCTGATGAGTACAAAGGGTCGAGCTCACGCTCGCCGGCATACCACTTTCGCAGCTGCGAGCGGGTGATTCCCATAGCTGCGGTGGTACTCGCGCAGGTGCAGCTCATCATGATGACAATTACGCTCACGATAAACAGGATCAGCAGCCAGAACAACCATGCAATGGCAGCCGAAGACGATCCCGTCTTCGCCATCGTCACCCCAGCTATGATGGTAATCCGACGAATCTCTCACCCACCGTTGATCTGCCCGAATCTTCACCGGCGCTACTTCCTCCGAATGGAATAGAAATGGCGGTTAGGCGCTACTTCCTCCGAATGGAATAGAAATGGCGGTTAGCATAGCTACAGGGTGTGACGGACGTGTCGTGACTCGTGAGCTGCCACAACTTCTGCCGTTCTCGTACATGACGATTCAAATTCACGCTCATTCAATGACATACACACTGCTTCTCTCTCTCTCTCTCTCTCTCTCTCTCTCTCTCTCTCTCTCTCTCTCTCTCTCTCTCTCCGATATATATATATATATATATCGTCACAAACAGAACTGCCCGGTAAACCGTATATATATCGTCAAATAGAACTGCCCG